GTAATAAACTCGACGTTAAAACAGATCCGTGCGTATGTAAATGCATACGATGCATAAGATGCCACGAAAAGAAGCACATGACGTGATGCATATCGTATCACATGACACAAATTATTACAATACATAGAAATTATTTATTATTGATTCTACAATCTCGTATGTTAATTTTTACAATTATAATTTTTAGTTATAAAATAAATTTTTTATAATTACTTTTTTACAATTATAAAACATTAACATAAAATTAATTTTTTTTAATTTTAGAATCATTTACTTCCCAATTCATCATTAATTACAAATTAATATTTATAAATTTATTTTATTCAGCAATTTAATCAATCATTTTTTACAAATAAAAATCTCAGAAAATATCGAAATATGTGTGTGTGAAAAAATAATTTGACTTTCTTGTGTAACTTCTTTAATTTGTTAACACTTAACAATTAGTTTTTATTAAATTTGTGTATATTGTAATTAAATATTTTTATTAAAAGTTGTTAATTAGCACACTTTTATATGTTAAATTGTCACTTTTACATAATTTTATTTTAATTTTTATTATTATATGTATTATATATATATACAACAATACATTGAAAAAATATACTAAATTTTAATAATAAATCATTTAATAATAAATCACCAACTAAATATTTACTAAATATAAAGATATATTTATTTAGTACAGGATTGATTTGATTTAACTATCATTTCTATTTACTTACTATAAACGTTTAATTGGCACTATTCAAATAAATACTTATTAAATATTTATTAAATATTTATTAAAATTTAGTACATTTTTTCTCAGTATATATTCATAACTCTACTAATATCATTACTTATTATTATTGTTTTGTTACTACATTTTTATTTTACAACAAATATTATTTACTATTACTATACACCATTTTTATCTCGACAGTATAATTACTTCAAAACAAGGTTCGAGCTAGATTTCAAATTCTGCGATTCAATTTCGCAAAAATGAGCATTCTTCCCGCGAAAAAAATACTCATGGAGAGAGGTGTACTATTTGTTGTCAACAGTAAGCCGGCATTTAAATGAGCTCTCGTTTCTGATCTTATGTAATTTGCTGAACGCTTGCTTGTGAAGAGCAAGCGATACGACTGCTCAGTCGGTCGGTTGCTTATTCAGCGACACTGTAACCTGTACTTCCTATTTTTAGCTTAACTTATATTCCTTACAATGATATACTTAAGTTATTTTTTCATTTATAAAAAATTGTAATACATAATAAAATGCATATATACCAGCAATATTATACAATGAATAATTGCGTAACTGCATGTATTTAATTTAATTCAAACCGATCTAAGAAAACAAAATTCTTATTTAATTTTTACAATTTATTGTTTAACTTTCCCATATAAATTTCATTTAAAAGATCAAATTGCAAGAAATAAATACACCTACCATGATAAAAATTTTACATTAACAAAATGTGGATAATTTCACTTAATACTATTGAAATAACCTCAAAGACGATTTCAAACTAAAATTTTGCAAAATATTGGTCAGGAGTATATGTGCGTGTACGTGTGCGTGTGTGTGCGTGCGTGCGTGCGTGCGTGTGTGTGTGTGTGTGTTGAAATTTATCATATGCGTGCATACACTAAATACATATACATGAGATTGAATAAGATAAAGCCTTCCAGCATTTTCATCCTAATTGTCTCGCAACTCTTGTAGAGATGTTTTCTTAATCCAAATTCTATGATGCAAAAGTTAATTAGCAGTATTTCACAAATGCCCAAATACTATAAAGAAACTTCCCTCCCAAAATTGTGTGGATCGCAATCACTTTTAATAAAGCAAATGTCCGCGACGTAATATCTAGCTTTAGTAAAAGCTGAAGAACAAAAAAGGTAAATTGATTATTTTTATTATTTTCTACTAGTTTATTTCTTTTTAAATCTTTATTAAATATAACTTTATAAATCTATTTCTTAAATACATAATGAGATATGTGCAAGATTAGTAACAAATTGAAAACTATTTTTCACATAACTAAACGATTTGATTGTTCTCATATAAATAATTTTATGTAAAAGGATTGCAATTGAATATAGTAGATATCTCTATAGACGAGATTCTAAGCGGGGCATCCGGCTAATGAAATTCGTTTTTCTCTTCTATCTAGTGAGTAGTTCTCTCAGTTTTTAGAAAGAAAACTGTTAGAATCTTTTTTAATAATCTCATACGTATCTTGATCATTTAATTTTTTATATAAATGATATATAAAATTTTGTGGAACATAACTTGGTACTAATTGTTGATATCTTTCATACAAATCTTTTTTACAAATGATATATACATTAGAGATGAAGAAAATAATAAAAATAATACCACTTGGGTTCTACTTTTTAATTTGGTACAAAAAGATAGTATCACTTGGCTTTTATAATTTGGTGCAATATAGAACTAACAGATCTCTTTAAAATCGAAGCGTCTTATCTTCATTTTAAAAAGTAAAAAGTGGTTTCAATAAGACCACTTTTTATGGAAAAAAATTGTTTGAAGTAACGAATCGTGCGTTACTTTTTAAGTAACAGTAATTAGTTTCTTTTGAGAATCAATAACAAATAATGATAATTAATTACTTTTAAAAATGTTCCAGCCAACGTTTCCTGTATTATCAATGCTTAACGGTAAAATCACAAGATGTATAATTTCTTGAATGATTAACTTGGACGCTACTTCTATTCCGATGCATGATATAAAAATACGTTCATGCATTGAGCACGATACACTAATATGCATGATTTCTGTAATTATCATAATGCATTATTTCATAATAGCTTATTTCCTTTTATGTGAAACATTTTCAAATTTTCCGAAATCTGATGTTTGCTGGATAACTATCAGATATACATTCAGATGTGGTTGTCATTTTGAGTCATATCACACTTGAATGCGCGAACTTTAGGTAATATAATTTGTTAATTTTAAATGCTTATAATTAAAAATTATTTCTCGACATTTTGATATTAAGTTTTTCGTCTCAAAATAATCCCAAGAATCTACCCTTAAGCGTTGTTACGATCTTTACTATCGGATAACCCATATATAGAATGCAAAACATTATTATTATTAAATCTAATATGTAAAAGATTTGGAAAGAAGATTGAAATATTCACTCTTCTTCACTTAATTACGGAAGACAAAGTGGACAAATACTTTTGAGTGGTAGTGTATGTATCGTAACTGCATCTCGTATGTCTCTACTAGTATTAGTATAAATATGCCTCACACACACGAAAAGTTTTGAGACTTTTTTATGTGTATGAGATGCTACGCTTTTAATACATCTACGTTAAAATATGTGAATTCCTTACTTTAAAAAGATCATTTTTCAATGAAACACGGTCGAGTGAAAACGTCTATATTCTTATACTGTGCATGCAAGCTAATCATTCAAGAAATCGTGTGATTTCCAACTTAACACGCACGTATGCACGCGCGCATGCACGATTTCTATTTATATTTATATAACTTATTTATATGATTATATTACAACATAATTGTGTATATATATATCTATTCTTAAAAAAAAAGGTACTAAACGAATTATTGCTCCTTTTCTGTAATGCTTATCGGTTCTTTTTCTTTATTTATTTCGTATTGCAAAAATACTATCATCGCGTGGATCGTGCTTTAATAGGTTTGACACAAAGAGTAGATTGTTGTGATTGCATGATTAAGAATATATACTTGTATATTTGTATACTTGGATTCCATTTCGTTTCACACATAACGTGCATGATACATTATTTTTCCTTACTACTTATACTACTAAATATTAAATAAGGATAAAAGACGCATCATGTGCATTGTGCGTGAAAGGAAGTATATCTTTGTTTTTTGTATTTAATATAAAAAGCAATTAATATCAAAGTATTTAATCAAAAGCTGAATAGCGCTTGTATGTGATGTCTACTAAAAAGTAAAAAATAGAGAAAAAAATCTTATTTCTCAAAAAATCAAATTTTCTTAAACAATTCAAATTATATGTAACATTAATCATTTAGATAGATCAATCACTCAAATTTTGGATTTATGTCAGATATAACTTGAGATATTTAAAAAAATAGCTTTTTTCAGAGACATTTCTATAGCTTCCTATATTCCGAAAACAATTAGTTTTAAAACTATGTTTACTAAGACCCTTGGTTATTAAATGATCAAAGAATCATCTTCTAAAGTTATAATATAAACTTAAAATAGATTTTATATACATATGTATAGTACGTATACATATAATAAGTATCCCTCTACTTACAACTTATGGATTTTCAAATTTATGACTACTATACGTTAACAATAGGCAATTTTTTTTTCTGTGTAATTCAGGTATAGCAATCAAATTATACCAGAATATTTTCGCATGTTTGTTCATTAATAGTAGAGGCATACTTAGCTAGCCTTTAATTCTGTGTCTTATTCTCTCTATGTCTCTTCTATCACACATCACGTTGGAATATTTTAGAAAGAAATTATTTTTAAACAATATCAAATTCATATAAAAAAAAACCAATAGTTTTAACGTAACAATTATACAGTTATCAGAATAAACTCCAACCCTACCAACATCTATCAATAATAACTTTGGTACGAAAAAGCGAATGCATACGATTAATAAAGTAAACAATAACATTACTAGATAGATCGAATTATATAGAATAAATGACACGAATCGAAGAGAGAATATACACGAGGAAAGGACAGTGGGAAGCGGTGCAGAAAAAGTAGAACACGCGCATCTCTCGATGTGGCACAAAGAAAATGCACGCACAAGAGAAGCGCGAAATTCTCGGGCACGCACGCAACGCCGATACCACAGTCGACAGGCACACATTTCGAAACTCGTATACGTACTATACTAAAGTATACGCGGCTCCGCGAGGCGCGCCAACTGTCTTGGCTGGTGCGCGCGCGCATGCAGGAAGAAGCCATGATTGCGTGTACACTGCACTAACCTGTCGGAGGCGACTCGCTCTCCCTTGATACCCCGCTTGGCGTCGCAACACCTGAAACTGGCTGATGGCTGAGTATTTTTCACTGCGCGCGACCACACTGCAATCACCAAATTATTCACACTCCGGCTTCCGCACGTCTCTATCCCTTATTTCTCTTTCTTTCCTTTTTCACCTTGCTCCTTGTGTCTCTTTCCTTTCTTTACGGTCACGCGTTATCTCCTCTCTTTCTCTCCTGTCGCTCACTTTTCTCTTCTTGTATATAGTCTTCCCCACGTCTTCCTTAAAAATATGTTCTCGGCTCGTCAATTCAATCGAAATGTGCGACGACGACGGCGTCCGTCTACCGGGTGACCGCCGCGGTCGGCACGGTGTACGAAAGTCACGCGAATATCCTATCGGGCACACTACAGTCTCTGTACAATCTGTAAAATATGAATCGCACACGATTTGCAGCGTACACGAAAAGAGTTTTCGCGTTTTACGTTTCACTACTCTCGATTCGATTCGCTAATAATGCACACAAATTCTCGCTACCTACGCTCCGGACTGCTGTCCCTTGTTGGAGGAAAATGGCGGCCCCCGGGTAACTCGCGCGCGCCACCCGATGCTCGTCGTCACCGGCCGAACGCGGCCGAACACGGCCGAGAGCACCCGAATACTATTGGCTGAACAATACGATGCGTTCGATTCGCTGAATGATTCACACATAGAAACTAGATAGGAACAACACATTACTGCATCATGCTAAAGAGGTGCGTTCCGTTTCACGCATCGTGCGCATGATATATTGTTTTATCTTTCTTGTTCATCGAACATTAAAGAAAGATAAAATGATACATCATACATATCATGCGTGAAACAGAACTCACCCTATGTTACTACTTGAATGTACTCGTATGCAATCTGCTTTAACCATTCATTTTTACGGAAAGTTTCTGTTGACGACCTAAAAACGGGATCATATACATTGAACCCGAATGGATCGTACTCATTGATCCCGTTTTCCCCATTCAAACTAATCATTCCCGCCGGGTTTTAACCCGGCGAAATATTTTTGTAAGAGAAATCAAGATTAACAATTATAAACCAAACTTTTTTTTTCAAGGATTGCTTGATTGAGAATTTACATATCAAAGTACTTATAAATAATTTATTTTTCAAAATTGACACACTGTCTCTATGTAATAATTTATATTCTAAAATATTGTATTTTATTTGCACAAAGTTCGACAAAGTCACTTCTTTTTCTCTCTGAAATGACATATCCTGAAGATTTTTTTACACTAAGCACAATGTTATTGGTAGAACTTATGTAGCATATCAAGATTTTGAGCAAATTGAGATGAAATGTACAAAAATGGCATTTTTAAAATTATTTTCAACATTTTTTACAGCAAAATAAAATTGTTTCTAAATCAAATCTATGATATATAAAAGTATAATTTAAGAATTTTCATATGAATTTTAGTTCATACGGACTTATTTTCATCAAATTATGGCTGTTTGAATTTCTGTATAATTATATCGTATATGATTATACATTTTTTTTCTTTGAAATGCCATACATACTCCAAAAATTTTTTCGTGCTGAACATAATGTCATTAGAATTGTTGTTAGATCGAATTTTTAGTAAATTGAGATAATTTTTAGGTCATTTCGTCTCAATTTACTAAATCATGTTCAGCTTAAAAAATCTTCAAAAGAATATATGGCGCTTCGAAGAGAGTAAATATTCATTTAAGGTCGACCCCTTCAAAAAGTCAATGACCTTGACGTATGTGTATATTATCAAGAACATATCCCCGATAATGATGTAAAATTTTAGCCGTTTGTAATTAATTAAGAAGTTTTTATAAAAAATACAATCACACGGACGAATGTTAAAAACACACATATTTCTTAATTATTATTTATAATATTATAGAAGATATAGTGTTTAAAAGTTGGAAACTTCGCGTGAAAGAAACTCATATAGAACTTCGCTTTACATAGAAAGTATGTGCAGACCGTTCCACATCTCTCCGAAGAGATTTCATTAAGTGAAGGGCGAAATTCTCTGAGTCCTGCAAAGCGACAGATACGCCAGACTGTTATTCATTAATCGAGTCCCTTTTTATGTATAGCTAGTGTAGGAGCAGCCAATTAGACAATCCACTAGAAGTTTGTTTTCTGCCTGAACTAGTATACACTATTGGAACTTGAAGTGAGATAGGTACATTTGATATTTGTTGAAAGTGAAAAAGAGAGTGCTAGTGAAATCTAGTGCAGGAACAGAAAACAGACCATATATTGATAGCAGAATCTGATTGGCTAACGTAACTTCAATTTCTGCACTCTTCTACACCCGAGTGGCTCGATTAATGAACAGCGTTATACGCTATATACAGGGTGATTCAGAAGAATTCCGTGTCGATGGCTGCGTTCAGCAGAGAAAACTAATCAATTAGTGCTTAGCAATTTTTTAATGCTATGACAGTTAATCGCAATGAGTGGCCCTCATAATCGCTCACGTCGAATGGTGAGTGCGTCGCTTTTGCTTATCTTCTATACATGGCCCGTAATTAGCTAATTTTATCTTAATAACTTAAAAAGTAAGCGGATAAAATTTTCATAAAGGAAAAATCAGAATTTAATCAGGAACATGTCTTTACAAGGAGGACAAAGAATTGTTCTGAATCACCCTATATAAGGACCAATCATTGTAAAGACCGTAAGCCATAGAGTAAGCAGTAACCAATCTAATATGTTGATTTTCCTACTGCTTACGTCTTACCGGTAAATTTTTTGTGTACTATGGCTTTATGAATAATAAAATCACAATCTTGACCTAAAGCTCTAGATATACTAAAATAGCACAAAGGTCCTCCATTTTTGATGTAATATCATATTTTAAAAAATTATTAATAATATTAATAGCGCTTATTAGATTACAACTACCAGGTCAAAAATGGCGGTCGAAACAACCAATAGGAAAAGTGTCGGCATTTTGACTAAAAGGATTGTACTACTTTGGTATACCTAGACTCTAGAGCTTTATCTTGACGTGCTCGGGGAATCCTCTCCTTTTCGTTCGAGCATATATAAGTATCGTCATCGAGCTCCGGAGAGGAATGGGGCAAAGCCTCCTTCAGAGTTGCATTCCGAAACTCAACTCAAATATCATTTTTATGATCCTTGTTGTTCATTGAATATATTGAACAAGGATTTAAACTGTGCAAAAACTTTAACTAAAAAAAACAGACCTTAAGTCTTACATTTTATCAGCAATATCAGTATGCAGTATGGCAGAATATGGGCACAGGTGCTCCGCCTTTCCCCTCACCTATCACATAATAACTTCTATGTGTAATTGAAAAAAAATCATATTAATAACTATTATGTAAAATACTTTTGCAAAATACTGAAGAATTAAATATTGAAGTGCATTGATTTAAAAAAAATATGGATGAATGTTTACAACTGGCAGCAACATAGCTTTGCTTTTACATGATACACACTACATAGAGGTATGTCTAAGCTTTTTAGATTTTCATTATTTTTATAATAAACTCATTCATTTAGGCGAAGATTTAATTTAATACATAAAATGCATGCACATCGAAAAACGATGATATATTCAATAAATTTTTTTGTTAATAACATTTTAATAAATAACAAGCAACAATTAAAACTTCTTGATTACTTTAAAACATATCTTTTACAATATATATCAAGGTTATTGACTTTTGAAGGGGTTGACCCTATATGAATATTTATCATAAGACGATAAATTCACTATCTATAATTGATATTTCTGATAAAATTTAATTTTCTATAATGCTGCTAGTATAATAATTGATTACATTTACCACTGCAACATGGTGTTTATTCATAATTTTTTGACTATTCTAAATTTTCGAAAACAATGGTTTAATAGGCTGCATGAAATATACTATATTTGATGGCACAATCATCCTTTATCATACCATCTTATTTCTATTTCACATCCGCCTAATTTAATCATAACTTTTTATACTTTTGCAGCAAGAACTTCAAGATCTTTGATACATTGGTGAAGAGTCGCTTTTTCTTGTTCAGGAGTGATAGACTTTAATACTTCATTCACAATCCATTGCACCATATGCTTTTGTGCAATTCGACGTTCGAGGTTTTGTATTTGTATTTGATAATCAAGACGCTTCTTCACCTGTAAACAATAAGCAAAAATTCCTAAATTGTTAATTTTTTTCTTTATGAAGAAATTTAATATAAAAACAGTTACAATATACAGCTACAATATAATGAATATTTTAAATATGTTTGTTTAATAGTTTCATATAATAAATATAGGATTTTAAATAAAAATTTCATTTTAGTATTATAATAAAATAAATATATGCAAAAAAACTTAAAAATTATTAATCTGAATTTTTCAATTTCACTAGAGTTTATTGATCCATATTTTAATTTTCAGATATGATACAAAACAGATATATTAAAATTAATAACTATATTCTTTAGTGTGTAACATTGAAATATTTATCATATAATTAATCACAAGTAAATTTATATTATCCTTTGATAAATATCTTTTTAATTATTTCATTGTTTTATATTCTACTATATAAAAGCTATACCTCTTGATAGACCTGCACCAGGCGTTCCCTGTAAGTTCCTTCCAGCTGCATTTTAACGTTTTCTTTTTTAATATCCATTATCATTTTCTGTCCATCTAAACTCGACTGTTCATTCTTTTCATGTGAAATTATATCTTCATAATACTTTATTTCGCTATTTCTAATCTCATTAAGTTCGTTATCATATTTATCGATTCCTTTATCCAATATCTGAGCAAGTTTTGGACCAAATAATTTTACACCCGCTACACACATTATTAACAAAGATAATCCATTATAATATTCATGTTCCAGGACATAAATTTCTTTGGAAACTAGATAAGTGCTCAAGCTTATAGCAAATACGTATGGTCCTAAAAATAAAATAATAATGATAATAAGAAAATAGATGCAATCCACTTGATGCTACAATGTTTCGAAGCATTTTATCGACCAATTAGAAGAAAGAATTTTATTAATTTACCAATTAAAAGATGCTTCAAACCATTTGTAGCACCAAGTGAACCACAGCTGATATTGTCACTTCATATATTATAGAATAATGCGATATAACAAAAAATTAATTTTTAGAAAGAAGTTAAAAGAAGTTAAAATAGATGTTTTTTTTTTAAGATTTCTTTTTGAAAACAACTTAATTTGAAGAATTAAAAACTTAATATTTAGCTTTTGTAAGCTTATAAATTATTTTCAAAATATTATGCAAAATACCATAATACATTTCAACAATACTTCTTTAAAAAAAATACTTAGAAAATAAAAGATTTCTTTTAAATTAATAAATTCATAATAATATGCATAAATGAAAATTTTATATAAAGCATAAACCGTTTATCTTTACGAGAGTGGTTTGAAAAGTTCGTGTATTCAGATGACATCATGGGTCTGTATTTTCAGTTAGTAGCATCTCTTGGAAAAACACACCAAGTTGTAGCCAGATCTATTTCTTTGTGTTTGGCGTTCGTTTGAATCGAAGAAGTCGAGTGATTTCTAAAAAAAAAGGATGAAAAAGAATTTCGTGTGTTAATCAAACATTACTTTATGAAAAGGCAAATCGCCTCAGGAGTCTAAAGAGAAGAGCTTGATAAACATTATGGTGAATTTGCACCGATTAAAACAGTTTATAAATGGTTTCAAACATTTCAGAGTTGCTATGAGCACAAGTGACGCTGGACGTTCTGTTGAGACCACTACTCCAGAAATCAGGATTTGAAGAAATCCATGATATGAGGTTGGATGATAGAAGAACGAAGGTGTGTGAGATTGCTAGTGTTATGGACATCTCGATTGAATGAGTACATGAATATTTGGACATAAAAAAGACATTCGCAAGATGGATGCCGTGATTGCTCACAGTTGATCAAAAACGAAATTGTATGAGATGTTCCTGTTTGCAACTGTATCAGCGGAATCCATAGAACTTTAGGCGTCATTTCGTCACTGTGGACACATGAACACATGAACACGAAACATGGACACATCACTATACACTTCAAAGATAAAACAACAGTTCAAATAATGGGTTACTAGCAAGGAATCTGCATCAACCTGACAACCGTCTTTTAAGATTCGCAAGGAATAATCCTCGTCGATTATATGGAAAAAGGTAAAACTATTGCAGGAACATATTATTAATCGTTATTGGACCATTTGAAAATCGAGCTGCAAGAAAAACATCCACGATTGGTCCACAAGAAAGTTTCTTTTTTCATCACGAGAATACACCAGCTCACTCCTCTGCAGTTGTGGTCGCAAAATTGATGGAATTAAGGTTCCAACTCGTCGTTTCGCATCTCTCCTAGATTTGGCTCCTTCAGACTATTACTTGTTTCCTAATTTGAAGAAATGGCTAGTGGGAAGAAGATTTTATTCAAACCAGGAGATGATTGCGGATACGAATGCCTATTTTGCACAGTTGAATCAATCCTATTATTCGGAAGGGATTAACAAATTGGAGCAGTATTGGACGAAGTGTATAAGCCTAAAAGGAGACTACATTGAAAAGTAAAAAAGTTTTAGCCTGAAAAATTAAGTTTTCATTTTTGCACGGACTTTTCAAACCACTCTCATATATAAATAAAATCTTTAGTTTTATCATTAAGAAAATATTTTAAAAAATTATATTAAAAAAATCATTCGTTTCCTAATTATAAAAATTTTACGTACCATATAAAAATCTAGATTAGTCTAAATCGGATATCTCGTTATTTTTATCCATTAGCAATTACTTACCTGATGCACCAGTTTTTGGATAAAAAGCTTGAAACCACTCCTCGGGTATAAATCCATGTCTAACTGGAGATGGATTAATCAAACGTTTAGGACGAGTTGGCTCTACTGCTACTGATGAAGCACTTTGTGCTCCACGCACAGCCGTAGACAGTAACTGAGCTATGATAAATAACATATATATTACCCAGGATTAAGAATGTTAGTTCATAAAGTTCATGAGTTACCGATACTTTTTTGTAAAAAATATTTCGTTATTCGTTACTAATTTTAAAAAGTAACACATTATCTATTATTACTTATTGTTAGAAAGATTTCTTACTTTTTTTTGTAGGAATAAGAACCGTTACTCTTACTATAACATATTTTTTGTTATTTTTTATAATAATTATATTATTAAAAAATTATATTATATATATATATTTAATAATCAATATTAATTGTAATAATCAATATGAAAACTTAAAACTTTAAGTTTTCATATTGATAAGCTAGTCTCTATATAACAAACTTTTCTTTATTAAATTTATCTAACAAATATTCTATAATTACGATGTATTCTATTTACGATGTATTCTATAATTCTTTATACATTAATATTTTTAATATATACTTATTTTTAGAATTTAGATTTTGTAATTCACAATTCCACAGATTTTATTAAAAATCGTTATTGAACACTGTTTTTAAAATTTAATATTATATTAAGATTATAATATTCACTGCCAATATTGAAAATTTATAATTCACATTACATACAAGACCGGCGAAATAAATTTTTCTTATAATAGAGTGATCAAATAAAGTACACATATATTTGTTGTTTTTCTTCAATTATTTATTTACGAATGTGTGTAACTCATCGAATATTATTTTTATTCATAAATCTATCATTTCAGTCTCTTCCTTAAAAAATTAATTATGACAACCAAAAAAAAGATTCCATCAAGAATCAATCAGAGCAATCTACATTGTTCATTAAGATATTGCTGATAAAAAAATCCAATAAATTACTTGTTAAAAATTAGTAGTTTGACATGTTTAAATATGTGTGAAAATTCCACACATGCCAAATTCACATGTGTGAAATACTCTGTCATTTCACATACAGATCACTGGTTCTGGTTACATATAGGTATACATACTACAAATTTTCAACATTGACAATAACTATTGGAATATTAATTAATGTAAGATATAAAATACAAAAATATTTTTCAAGATTAAAATTTCTATTTAAATAAAATATTTTTGGCATATACAATTAAAAGTCATGCGGTCTATTGAATAGACATAAAGATAATAAGAGATTAAAGTAATGGGTGTATTTGTTATCATTGCAGAAAAAAGCAACAATAATTATTGAAAAAAAGGAATAGTAATGGTAACGGCATTATAAGTAACAAGTTACTCTCTCTTCCCAATCCTGAATTATTACCATAAAAATTTAAAAGATATATATATTTTAAATGGTTATTACGCTTCTCTAATACATAATAAAATATAATTTTTCGTGCATTTATAAAGCTAAAAGTTAAAAAGACAACTGTATAGAAAATAAAAAATGTCAAAAAATAGATATATTCAAGAAAGTATACTTGTAATAATTATCAATTATAAAACAGATTAAAAATCTATTTTTAAAAAATAAGGCTTAAATGTTACATAACTATGTAATATATATAAGTAAAATTTGTGATAGATAATAAGAAAAAAAATAATGTGAATAATAAGAAATTATGAACAAATCTAAACGTTATTACATAATTAAAAAATTCAACTTTGTAATTAATTAACCGACATCACCTATCGAGTATATTTATTGTAAAGTATGTAAAATTGTAATAAGAATCATTGCAATTGATTTACCATTGCGGAGAGCCAATCTTGATAACATTTTATATCGTATGTGACTGCCTCTTGCCAAAACTAGCAACAACGTTACACCATGCTCAACAAGACAGTAATGGCGGATTTAGATTAAGCCAGGAGCATAGATGCCACTAGAGACTCTTTAATCATAGAGAGCCTACAATCAGAGTGACGGTTATCACTTGTGATTGGTCCGCCATGTTTTAGCCATTCCCTCCAGTTTTTTAAACGCATTATTTTCTAAATTTTGAATTCATGCTAAAAAATGCTAAAAAATTGTGACAAATTAAAAAATGATAATAAATAAATATTGTATATAAAATAATAAAACTTTTACATATATTATTTATTATAAAATTTCATTTATTTTATACTATTGCAATATTGTACATTTTGTAATATTGCACATTACTTTATACAAAACGTTATTTATTGTACATTATTTGCGCTATTAAATGCGCTAGTATATTATCCATTCTCTGTTCCTACATTTTAGGAGCAATGCATAATATAAAAGAAATCAAAAATTCAGAAAAATAATATATATGTATATATCATTTCATAAAATATTATATATTAAATATCATAATTATCATATTATTTGGTTTAGACTCACAATGCAATGATATATAATTGAAAAGATTACGACAAAAAGAGAAAGAATTAAATTCGTAATCAATGTGATGACTATACATATACTTAGTGCCAAGATACTACCGTGTCTTCAGATATTATAATTAATCTGTGTATATTATATATTACATTTTTATTTTAAAATTTTAAATACAATATTTATAAAGAATAAATTACTTTACCTCACATACACATGAATTTTTTGACGGTGTTCAATTTTTATATTTGCCATTTATATTCTTTAACTAATTCATTCGGCATCTGTGTCTTTCGGAATTATTTTCATAACATATCTTTTTTCTAATGAATTGTTACAAAACGTTATTGTACATCCAACCATATTTCTAAAATAATTTTGATAATTATATTCTCATCAATGTACCTTTATGTATCTATGTCGTTCAATGTTGTTGCACCTAATCCTAAAATTGACAATCTGTTGGGTAGACTGAGATCGTATATCTCTTTCTCTCTCGCAGAATTTCGCTAAAATATGACGTCAAATTGAGAGTGATATATAAAGCCCTCGACGTGCTATCATTCATGATCATTAAAGAGGACAAGTACCGATCTAAATGTGACAATTCTTAATTTGTAAACGTATTATATATTTCGACGCTTATTTCAAGTGTGGTAGAATAACTTATACCTTCGACGAAACAGCAATCGCTTCGACATGTTCACGAGTCGCATTATGAGCATTGATCAATTCGCGTTCATATATATTACATTTTTATTTTAAAATTTTAAATACAATATTTATAAAGAATAAATTACTTTACCTCACATACACATGAATTTTTTGACGGTGTTCAATTTTTATATTTGCCATTT